GTTCTGAGCACTTTGCATTAGTGAACAGAATCCTCCCAGCCACCCAGTAAGGTACATACTCTTCGAACTGCCATCTTACAGAAGGCTCCAGGGATAAGGAGTGGCCCAGCTGGGATTGCAATCCTCCTAAATTTTTATTTTTAAAGTTTTCAAAGTTTCACTTGTAGAAGAGAACACTTTTAATGTATGTACTCCTTGTCTACATATGAGCCAATTGTTAGTCTATTTTGAATAAATAAAAATGCTGTTTATTTTCAGTAATTGTGGATCTGGGCAGTATATTAGTGTCTGATACTCTGTTTCAACTATATATAGTAACTTACTCAATCTGTCCTGTGTTGATGGTCATCATTTGCTTCTTATAAATGCTTTAAAAAGCTTATTACAGGGGCGCCTGGGTGGCTCAGTCATTAAGCTTCTGCCTTCGGCTCAGGTCATGATCCCAGGGTTCTGGGATCGAGCCCCCACATCGGGCTTCCCACTCAGTGGGAAGCCTGCTTCTCCCTCTCCCACTCCCCCTGCTTGTGTTGCTGCTCTCGCTATCTCTCTCTCTGTCAAATAAATAAAATCTTTAAAAAAAAAAGCCTATTACATATATTTTCTCATTTTATAAATGAGTAAGTTTGTCAATAGACTGCTATTTTTTAAACATACTACCAAGTAGTCCTTCAAATGATCTGTAACCAACAGTGTATGAGATTATCATTTTATTTATTTTTTTATTTGTATTTTTTTTAAAAGGCACATTTATTCAGCGTCAGGACCAGACTATTACATTTAGCAATCAACAGCATGGGTGCAAAAAAAAAAAGAAAATCTACATTAAAACCCTTTGTTGGAATGCTTTACACTTTCCACAGAACAGAAACTAAAATAACCTGTTGTACAATTAGTCACAAATACAGTCCTCGAGTTTTTTGCCCATACACATGAGTATTGTCTAAAACATGTCTTCTCTGTAGCAGCTAGGCCCTGCCACCACTGTGCTTGGCTGAGTTCACAAATCTCTTGTAACCTGTAGCTTCCCTGTCACTTCTCTGGCTCTCCTCTCCTGCTAAGCTTTGTTTCCTGGCAGCAATTAAAACGTCCTGCCACTGCAATAGCTACTGCTGCTGCTGGAACCACCATAGCCACCTTGGTTTCGTGGTTTGGCAAAGTATTGGCCTCCACCACCATAGGGGCCAGAGCTTCTGCCTCCAAAATTTCCTCCTTTCCTGGGTCCAAAATTTGAGGATTGATTGATGTAATTGCCAAAATTATTATAGCTTCTGCCACCTCCAGAGTTGCTTCCATCATTACCAAATCCGTTACAGCCATCCCCACTGCCACCATATCCACCACCACCTCGACTGCCACCAAAGCCACCTCGACCACTGAAGTTCCCTCCACGACCAAAGTTGTCATTCCCACCACAACCACCTCCACGACCACCACCAAAGTTTCCAGAACCACTTCGACCTCTTTGGCTGGATGAAGCACTAGCCATCTCTTGCTTAGATAGGGCTTTCCTTACTGCACAGTTGTGGCCATTCGCATTGTGGTATTTTTGAATGACAATCTTGTCTACAGAGTCATGGTCATCAAATGTTACAAAAGCAAAACCTCTCTTTTTGCCACTGCCTGGGTCAGTCATGATCTCGATCACTTCAACTTTCCCATACTGTTCAAAATAATCTCTTAGATGATGTTCTTCAGTGTCTTCTTTAATGCCACCAACAAAAATCTTTTTCACAGTTAAGTGGGCACCAGGTCTTTGAGAATCTTGTCTTGAGACAGCCCTCTTTGGTTCCACAACTCTTCCATCCACCTTGTGTGGCCTTGCGTTCATGGCTGCATCCACCTCCTCCACAGTGGCATACGTGACAAACCCAAAGCCTCTGGAGCGCTTGGTGTTTGGATCTCTCATTACCACACAGTCCGTAAGCGTTCCCCATTGCTCACAATGGCTCCTCAGACTCTCATCGGTTGTTTCAAAGCTCAAACCTCCGATGAAGAGCTTCCTCAGCTGTTCAGGCTCTTTGGGAGACTCTGACTTAGACATGACGGTGGTGGGAGGGGAGACTTTAACGATGCTTACTCTGCGGCGTCCACAGGCAGAAAGGAGTAATCTAACGAACGTATCTCGAGATTATCATTTTATATCCCAATGATTGATTTTCTTGTCTCTTCCGCTGGACTGTCAGCCTTCTAATTTGTTAGTAAAGTTGTTAATGAAAATTGGGCATCTTGAAGAAATATGTATTCCAGTAGCTGAAGTAATTTCTTTTCCATTACTGTAGTATGAGATGAGCTTTGTTCTATTTTTCACTTTTGCATTCCTTTTTTTTTTTTTTTTTTAAGAGAGAGAGTGCACACATGGGGGGCGGGGCAGAAGGAGAGGGAGGGTATCTCAAGCAGCCTCCACCTGACACGGGGCCTGATGTCCTGACCCCAAGATACGACCCAAGCTGAAATCAAGAGTCCAAGGTCTAACCGACTGAGCCATCCAGGCACCCCTCACTTTTGTATTCTTTAAGGAAAAAAATGAGTATTTTGAGGATATTAATAGTATGACTCCAAATTTTAATGAATTAAGCATGTAGTATTCACACTTTCCTCTAGCTACTTATTCAAGTATTAGTTGTTATTGTTTTATCATTGCCCTACAAATTGTCAAACCCATGTTTCTCTCCCTACTATGAACATTTATTGAATGATAATATACGTGCCAGGGACTCTTCAGTCCTTATCTTGTTGGTCTTTCTACCTTATGCGAGACTGTAGACCAATCCCTTTTCCTTGTCCTTTGGAGACTATACTTTCTTGTTTTTCCTGTTATAACTGTTCCTTATCAATATTCTTAGAGTATTTTTTCTTTGTCTGCAGATCCTGTAAGCATTGGTTTCTTACAGTTTTTTTCTCTGATTCACTGTGCTTATATATGGTTTTAATTGCCACCTCTATGCTGATGATTCTCTTCAAACCTCTCCTAAGCTTTACACTCATCATTGTAAAAACGCACTGAATTTCCCCAAGGTTTTTCATATGCAGTATATCCTTACTAGAGTTTATCATCTTTTCTTCCTCACTTATCTTTTTCTTACATTCCCTTTCTACATGATAATACCATGTTTCCCTGACTAGAATCCTGAATATTATCCTAGATTGTTTCTCAGTCAGGCTCCAAGTTCTACTGACTTTTCTTCTAGACATTTCCCAGATTTAGCTTTTCCTTTTCTTCTTGTATTAGTCTACTTTTTGCTTCTCCTATTCCATATTCCTTATTCTCATATTCCACTACTGGTAGAATGAACTATCTGAATTGTATCTGACTGGGTCCTGTTTCCTGTCTGCCTGGAATTTGTATCTGAATTGTGTCTGACTATATCCCTTCTTTATTATGACAGAGCAAAATTTCTACGACTTGGTCAAATGACTGCCACCCTAGGTTTATCATTTACTACTCCCTGCCTTGTTTATTTTGTTCTAATAACATATAGTTCCATACACTCCATTCATTATTGTACTTTATAATGAACTGTCATTTCTGCCTGGCATGCCCTTGTCTCTTTTGCTTTAGTTAGCCTTTACATTTTTATGTAATCATCCTCTCTGTCCACAGTCTTCTCTTGCTCCCAGCATCCGCTAAAGGTACCTACCTTTTTTGTGCCTCCGTTATGATCCTTGAACTGACTACGTAATATTAAAGAGTATTTTTCTTCTCCTTATAGGCAGATATTGTTCTAATTGGTGAAAAAAGGTCTTCAAAACACCTAAAGTAACGACTCAGTAATTTTTTTTGATGGTGGGTGTCTAAAAATACTAGGTTGTTAGAATAATTTATAGATTACTTTCTTTGTAAACGATGACAAAATCTAAGCTAAGCTTGGAGACTGTCCTCCACATGGATAGATAAGTGCTCAAGGAGTATAAATAATATAATTTTCATCCCAAAGGAAGTTGAAGTATAGTTGGTATACAATGTAATATTAGTTTCAGGTATACAACATAGTGATTTATATACATTATGAATGGTTGTCATACAAGGTTAATACAATATTTATATTCCCAATGCTGCTCTTTACATCCCCGTGACTTATTTATTTTATAACTGGAAAGTTTGTACTCTTCATCCCCTTTACCTATTTTATCCATCCCCTCATCTGTCTCTCCTCTGTCAACCACCAGTTTGTTCTTTGTATTTATGAGTCTGTTTCTGTTTTGTTTTGTTTTTAAGATTCCACATGTATGTGAAATCATACAGTATTTGTCTTTCCCTGTCAGACTTATTTCATTTAGAATAATGCCCTCTAGGTCCATCCAAATTGTTGCAAATGGCAAGATTTTGTTCTTTTTCATGTCTGAGTAATATTCTGTATTACATATATATGTGTGTGTGTATATATATACACATATCTTTATCCATTCATTATTTTTTAAATATTTATTTATTTTGAGAGAGAGAGCGAAAGCGTGCACACACGAGCGTGACTGGGGGGAGAAGCAGAGGGAGAGAGAGAATCTCAAGCAGATTCCACACTGAGCACGGAGCCTGACACGGGGCTTGATCTCAGGACCCTGAGATCATGACCTGAACCAAAATCAAGAGTCGGATGCTCAACCAACTGAGCCACCTGGGTGCCCTATACCCATTTATTTATTAATGGACACTTAGGTTGCTTCCATAATTTGGCTATTGTACATAATGCCGCAGTGAACATAGGGGTGCATCTGTCTTTTGAAATTAGTGTTTTTGTTTTCTTTGGAGAAATACTCAGAAGTGTGTGTAGGGGGGGAATACTCAGAAGTAGATTGCTGAATCATATGGTATTTCTGTTTTTAATTTTTTGAGGAACCTCCAAAATGTTCCATTGTGGCTGCACCAATTTACGTTCCCACCAACAATGCACAAGGGTTCCCTTTCTCCACATTCTTGCCAACACTTATTTTTAAAAAATGAAGATTTCGAGAGACTTCTTTTCTCTTCTGGTTTCTTACCCTCTTCAATTTCTGAATTGCAGTTACAGATGTAGAGCTGAAACGACTGAAAGATGCCTTTAAGAGGACCTGTGGGCTCTCATACTATATGGGCCAGCACTGCTTCATCAGGGAAGTGCTTGGGGATGGAGTGCCTCCCAAAGTTGCTGAGGTAATCTTTATATTCTAGGTTTTCCTTTGAGATGGTTATCCACCAGCCTGAATTCTTGAGGAGCTTTCTGGTCTTAACATGTGTAATCTTCCCTACAGTTATTTTTCTTGCTGAATAGGTAAATAGGTCTTATTTTAGATGTCAATATGGCTGTGTTTTTAGAGGCCAAATGGGAGTAACACAGATCTGCGGTTTGCTGCTTTTATTCTTCTGAGCTTTAATAGCCACTGACTGTAACCATGGGACCATTTGTATGACTGACTTCTTATTCTTATAAACTTCATTACTCTGATGTATACATTTTATGTTGGGAGTATGTTTTACAAATTTTGTGTTAAAGAAAACCTTTCCATATAGCAAAACCAAATTAAATTAATTCTATAAAATTAAATGTTGTAGATGAAACACTAGCTTATTGGAACCTGTAAAGACTTGCTTAATTTCTACTAAAAATTTTAGGTAGAGTTAAAATGTCCTAAGTTGATATGAATCTAACACTGAAAATGTTAATAAAACACTGAAAATTACAGGAATTTTAAGCTTATTATGTTACAAAGAACTGTAATTCACCATTCTTAATTAGTGACAGTTTTTGCTTCTAACATGGGCTGTGTGCTTTTGAACCTGTGGTTTATGTAATATACAGTTTACATTTTTAATTTTTATCTTTGTTTTGTGGGGGTGTATTTTGCGTTAATTCTCTTAAATATATTTTTTTTGGTAAAATTACATATCTCTGTCATTGTTTCGGATTTATGACAGAGTTAACTTTTTTCTTAATACTATTTATTGGATTTTCTGTTTCATTGTGAGTTCATCTTCCTATTTCTTTCAATCTTTTTGTCTTAAATGCTTGTATATAAAATTTTGGAATTTATTTTATTTTAGTATATAACTAGCAATTTACGAGATACTGTAAGTTGGCAGTTGAGGAAGGGTCCTCTGAGTCCATAATAATTAAAATATTCCAAATTCAAATATATACTGCCTTCAGCCTTTCTCTCCCTTCACCTCCTTTCTTAAAGTCAAAACTGTCAGGCTCAGTGTAGTTCGTGGTACTGGGAATAAATTAAGTCAGACTATCTCACTTGTCTCTTTGGACCATATATAAAGATTTACATGTGTACATTGAGTTGTAAGAGTTCTTTATGTATTCTAGATACAAGTGCCTTATAAGATACATATTTGCAAATATACCGTCCCATTCTGTAGGTTGTCTTTTTACTTTCTTTTGATGGTACCCTTTGAAACACAAAACTTAAAATTTTGGTGAAGTCCAGTTTACCTGTTTTTCCTTTTATCATTGTGTTTTAGGTATCGTATCTAAGAAATCATTGCCAAAAAAAAAGAAAAGAAATCATTGCCTAACCCAAGGTCTTAAAGATTTACTCTTCTGTTTTCCTTTAAGAGTTTTGGCTTTTAAATTTAGGTCTCATCTATTTTGTATTATTTTTGTGTATGGGATAAGGAGTCCAACTTCATTCTTTTGCAAGTAGTTCTCCAGTTGTTGTGGAACCATTTGTCAAAAAGACTATTCTTTCCCCATTGAATTGTCTTGTCACTGTTGTTAAAATTGTTGAAAGTCAGTTGGCCATAAACATAGTTTTATTTTTGGATTCTCCATTCTGTTCCATTGATATCTGTGTCTACTTGCATCAGTATCACATTGTCTTGATTACTCTGGTTTTAAGATTTGAAGTCCAAACATGTTATTCCTCTTTTTTTTTAAGATTTTATTTTTTTATTTGAGAGAGTGAGAGAGAAAGAGAGAGAGCATGAGCATGAATAGGGAGAGAAGCAGAGGGACAAGCAGACTCCCTGCTGAGCAGGGAGCCCGATGCGGGGCTCAATCCCAGGACCCTGAGATCATGACCTGAGCCAAAGTCAGATGCTTAACTGACTGAACTAACCCGGTGCACCCAAAACATGTTATTCTTCTAACTTTGACCTTCTTTTTCAAGTTGTTGTGCTATTCTAGGTCCCTTGTATTCACAGATGAATTTTAGGATCATCTTGTCAGTTTATGCAAAAAAGGCATCTGGGATTTTGATAGGGGTTGCATTGAATCTGTAGATTGGTGTGGGGAGTAATATTTTAAGGCTTCTGACTTAATGAAATTAGGAAGTTTTCACATTCAGATTTTTAATTTTTTTAACGTTCTATAGTTTTCATTGTGCAAGGCAAATGTCTATCAGCTGAACAAAAATGTAGAATCCACACAATGGAATATTATTTGTTAATAAAAAGGAATGAAAAAAAAGGAATGAAGTTTTTTGATATGTGCATAGAAGAACCTGCAAAAACATGCTAAGTCAAAGAAGCTAAAACACAAAAGACCCATTTTTTTATCCCATTTGTATGAAATGGTCAAAATAGCCAATCTATAGAAACAGAAAATAGATTTTTTAAAATTTTAGTTGATTTTTTTCCTTACTTGCGTGCATAGCAGCTGCGTCTTCTTCCCGTGTTCTGCTATTGGAGAGGCAGTTCATGCATCCCGTGTTTTGGAGGAATCTGTCCTTTCTGGGATGTCAGGCTACTTGATTGCCTCTTATAGGCTCAAGAAATGTTGTAACATTGTAGTTTATTTGGCTTTTTCTGGTTTTTAGGTTAGAAATAGCACCTTTTCAGACCTTTTACATCTAAGGTGGAAGTGGAACTCCTTGCAACATCATTTTTATGTGAATATCTCATAAATTTCATTTTGCCCAAAACTGCTTCAAGAATCTTCCTCTGTCCTTTGGACTCTCTGTTTTTTTTTTTTTTTTTTTTAAAGATTTTATTTATTTATTTGAGAGAGAGAGAATGAGAGATAGAGAGCATGAGAGGGAAGAAGGTCAGAGGGAGAAGCAGATTCCCTGCTGAGCAGGGAGCCCGATGCGGGACTCGATTCCGGGTCTCCAGGATCATGACCTGAGCCGAAGGCAGTCGCCTAACTGACTGAGCCACCCAGGCGCCCTGGACTCTCTGTTAAGATTAATCACTGGTAGAATAATTAAGGTAATTATTTTACAAGAACAATCTTAATGTTAAATTGTAAAGTCCACAGTTATAGTTTCAAGTTTCAGTTTCATTGTAGTTAAAGCCGTTTTGTGTGTAAAATCTAGCACGGTATTAAAACACATAAATTCTATAAATGCTTTTAGTGATGATACTAGCTTTTTTTGCCCTTACTTACTTACTGAAGTTGGTTTATTTTAAGTGAGGATGGGTACTATTAGCATGTGGATATTGATTAGTAAGTGTAATGTGTAAATTGTGAAGTATAATAAGGAGCTAATAAGTACTTTTTTTTTAAGATTTTATTTATTTATTTGAGAGAGAGAATGAGATAGAGAGAGAGAACATGAGAGGGGGGAGGGTCAGAGGGAGAAGCAGACTCCCCGCCGAGCAGGGAGCCCGATGCGGGACTCGATCCCGGGACTCCAGGATCATGACCCGAGCTGAAGGGAGTTGCTTAACCAACTGAGCCACCCAGGCGCCCCAGGAGCTAATAAGTACTTTTATCTTTAATTAATTGCGGGTATTTTCTTAGGAAAGGAAGTCTTTATAGTTTCTCATACCGAATCTCAAAAGGATAAGTGAACCTCATTTAAGCTCAGTTTTGGAGCAGTTTCAACATCAGCTTGTGGTTTATTTTAGCCATCTCTCTGAGATAGGCAGGTCAGTAGATGGATTTCATCAGCTTTTGTGTGTATTTGGGAAAGGGAGAGAATTTATTAGTATAATTCATATTTGCAGAGTACAGAGTCATTTGCTGAAGGAGAAATGCTACATTTTAAATAAGATGGAAGTTATAGGTCTGTGCAGGTAGTTTTGAAGTTTGAATTTATTTATTTATTTATTTAAAGCTTGAATTTAGTTTTAGTGAGTAGGTAGACTCAGAATGGAGTTGTATTTTATAGCTTCAGGGAAATAAGTTAAATGATTGGATTTATAAATAAAGTGATGGCCCTTGTGAGGCCTTTCTTAAAATCCCGTGGAGAGCTTCAGCCTTAAATTTGGGTGAAGAGGGTCACCTACTCTTGATGAGATTCTGAAATTAATGTTTTGAGGCACAACTGCATTATTTTAACGTCAGTATCTCTATAAGAAGAGCCACAGGAACCGTTTAGGCTGCCAATTGTGGATGGAGGGAGAACTTCATTCCCTAGTTAATCAGTGTTTTCCTTTAAAGTAAAGGTAATGATATATCTTTGAAAAGTAAGGGGAGGTATTTTTGGAATCTCAGTAGAAAAAGATGATGAACTTAAAAAGTGACTTTAGTCCTTAATATGTTAATTAAGGAAGCAGTGTGAATTTTTAAATTATTTTCTAGAAGAGAGTAGCTGTATATTTTTAGAGCAAGGAGAGATTTATTTAGGATTGAACTGAACTCTCATTTTTTTTTTTTACCTTCTCTGAAGACTTACTGTGATAAATTCTAAGACATTTAGGATAAAGAATAAAAACATGACAGTTTACAATTTTTGGAATTTAAGAATTGATTTCATTTGTCTCATTGTTTCTAGGATAGATTAGTGTAATTGATATTTTGATGCAATTCTGATCTTGCTTATAATAGTAACCATGTATTGAGTAGAATATTAAATGAATAGAATTTGAGGAGATTGAGAAAACAAAGTCAAATGAAGTACGTGGTAAGTAAATGGAAAATGTGTAATACTTGAAATTGGCCTTTTCTGAACCAAGGCAACTAACTCTTAATAATCCAGTGCTTATATTTTCTTTTGAGTGTCACCCATCCCCCACCTCCTATCCTCCCAAAGAAATTCTATTTTTTTAAATTTATTTAATTTTTAAAAAAAAAATTTATTTATTTGACAGAGACAGTGAGAGGGGGAACACAAGCAGGAGGAGTGGGAGAGGGAGAAGCAGGCTTCCCGCGGAGCAGGTGTCCCGATGTGGGGCCCGATCCCAGGACCCTGGGATCATGACCTGAGCCGAAGGCAGACGCTTAACGACTGAGCCACTCAGGCGCCCCCCTAGAGTGATTTTTA